GTGAAAAACTTTCGTTGGACGAATTTTCTTGTAAACTTCATATTTACTGAGATATCGCACTTTGACGCACTAATGAGCAACCCTGTATATATAACCAAATATCCAATATAAGTAAAAACCTAAATATAATATTAAATAATGAACGGTTGTTTATTCTTACAGAAGCCAAAAACTTAGAAATCAATTTTGATACCAGACTCACTTTTGAAACGCATGTTAAAAGAAAACTAGGCATTGCATACCTTAGACTAAAAAAAACATTATAACATAAAAAAAATATCTGCCTCAAAAAAAGAAATTTTATCTTTACTTGACTATGGCGATGTTGTTTATCATAATTATTTAACTAATAAAACTGCAAAATCCATCCAAAGTTGGCAGGCAAAATACAGGGTGACCAATTTCTGAATCTTTGTATGGGTAACTTCCACATTTTTAAAGATAGAGAATCCGTTAAATGGGCAAAATTGGACAGAATTTGATCGGCTATTCATTACCGTTTTCAAAATTTAGGTACCCGACCTGGTTCCTGAAATATCCTGCGAAGACAAGAAATCAACACTTTTTTAATTATCACATATTACGTAAACTGCTTAACTTAGAAAAAAAGGTTAAACTGCCCTTAGTACAACTTTTTGCGTTGAATCCAATAAACTAGCACTCGTTGTCCATAGTCAACTTGATTTACGAGTTAAAAAATAAAGTTATGTTTTTTTAAATGGTAATCATAGTTGGCTGTGGGCCTTTTAAAATCCTTATTTGCTTCTTAATTTAAGGATGTAATTGTTTGTATGTTTTTCTCCTTTTGTTGTCGTAAAACTTGAAAAAAAGATAAAAAATGTGTAGTAGGCTATGAAAACAAGAACTATATTATCATACATCGACAAATATCGGTTTACTAACAATGGAATATTTAACAGACACAATCATGTTTACTGGGCTAATGAAAATCATCATATAAACTTTTTATCACAAGGGATCATCCTCATCAAACTCGATATACTG